CCGATTGCCATGATTGTAATTGCGCCTTCGCGAAGACGACGACGTCGTGCTTTGGTATGCCCGAAGTTGATGATGACGATGATTGTTAGATTCGGCGATGCGCCAGATTGCCCGTCGGCCATACTGAAAACAACGTTCGGCGCGCTGCCGCGAACAGTCCGGGAGCTGCGAGCAACCCCCGTGCAGTGTGTTCAAAGGCGAGAGCACGCCGCTGTTACCACGGCCTCTAGAACACCGCCTTACAGACGGATCCTACGTGGGACCCACATGCGCCCGGCGTCCCACCCTACCCGGACTTTGCCTGAGAGCAACTCCGCTTATGCTTGCCTGCGACGCCACCAGAGGGCGGTTACTACCTCGTGCTTGCTTGGGCGCAGATGCCTGAGGTCCGGATCGAGATACGGTAGAGCAAGCCCGCAGCAGCTGTAAGTACGTCCTCCATCACAGCAGGTGGCGCGTGTGCGCTGGCCGCGCTGCCACGCCGTGCGAACAGGCTTCCTTCTGTAGACAGAATCACACACTCGGTTTGGTGCGCGGGGCCTCCTCTCCTGGTGGCGGAAAATGTTCAAGTGGATCAGGCGGGCCCCTTAGGGGGAGAGATGTCGTCTACGCATACTAGCTTACAGCCGAAAAACGTATTCGCAGATTATAGTAAATAAATATACACACACACGTTCCAAGCACAACACGCACCACAGACACGTGGCGCACACACAACATATAAATATAATATAAATATATAATTTATTATAGTAGATGGTTGAAGAAATAATTATATGGACAGCACTACCAATATAATATAGATCTCTTCTCTATATACTCTATATATATATAGTAGTATATTATATTATGAAATCTATGTGGCTACATAGTTAACACCAACATGACCCCTTATAATCAGCGAACGACATAACCAATGATATATTTATATATTAAAAAAACATCTGAGTAACCTCTGAGTGTTTGGGTTTTCTGTTTCTTCTGGCTGCGTTCTCCTACTATACGAATTCTGCAACATAGAAGATCCGACCATGTAAGAACTTACCACACACATTCACATCGGCTCCCTCATTCCCAACTACAGTCTACTCAAACCACTATCTACTATCTATGTTTGTAAGTTCTATGTCGTGTTGCCAACTCTACGCTTATAACTTAATTACACATGCCAGTATTGTTAACTAAACTTTAACTTATGTCTAACATAAAGACATTAAAGAATCTGAATCCTTCCGTATTATAGCACCCCGCTGTGTACGTACGTGTAACATACTATCGCCCCTGGTGTATGTACGTGTAAGTGGCCTCGACCGCCACGCTAGCGCCCCTGGTGTACGTACATGTAATGGCTCACGCGACGCCTAGCCCTGCTGTACGTACGTTGTGGCTCACGCCACCAGCTAGCGGCCCCCTGGTGTACGTACGTGTAAAGTGGGCTCACGCACGCTAGCACCCCCTGCTGTACGTACGTGTAAGTGGGCTCCCATATCCGGCGTAGTTTGTCAAGGCGCGTTCCGATATCCGACCTCTGTATGAGACGCTGTACAATCTGGAATATCGTGTCGCCGCACGCCGTCATCGTCTCCTCTATGTCCGGATCTGTGTCGCAACCACACGCGTCATGTTACAATCACACGTGTCATGTTTACAGCTACACGCATCATGTTACAATCACACCAGTCATGTTACAGCAACACGCATCATGTTACAGTTTAATATCTGGGATATATGACATAGAGTGGTTACTCACCCCTGGTAGGTTAGGTCCGCGGATAACGAGACTTAGTCGAGGTGAGCTAGGAGCTTCAGACTCCTCCCAATACGCTGACTCTGGTGCACCTGTAATCAACAGGTAAGAATCATAATATCTGTAATCAACAGGTAACAACCATAATACCTGTAATCAACAGGTAAGAATTATAATACCTGTAATCAACAGGTAACAACCATAATACCTGTAATCAACAGGTAACAATCATAACACCTGTAATCAACAGGTAACAATCATAATACCTGTAATCAACAGGTAACAATCACAATACCTCTAATCAACACGTAACAATCACACCTGTAATCAACCTGCCTCAACAAGTCACGTTCGTGTGCAGCTGGCAGCGGCACATCTAACTACACTACACAACAACCACTATTAGTACTTTATAGTATTCCCTATCACGAAGCTCAAACAAGAGTTCTACGATTATCCAGGTAGATATTTAATATTTGTTATCTGACATTTATTTCCATACTTGTCACCCTTTAGCGCCCGCCCTCAGCGTCAACCTGCAGTGGCTCCGCCTACCTGCGTGTCACGCCATGGTGGCGGCCCCTGCCCTTCAGTGGCGCCCCCTACCCCCAAGTCATGCCGCAGTGGCGCCCCCTACCCCGAGCGTACCTGGTAGCAGCACCTCTACGCCCCCTGCCCCCCAAGTCATGCCGCAGTGGCGCCCCCTACCCCACACGTCGTGCCGCGGTGGCGCCCCCTACCCCGCGCGTACCTGGTAGCGGCACCTCTACGCCCCCTACCCCCAAGTCACGCTGCAGTGGCGCCCCCTACCCCGCGCGTACCTGGTAGCGGCACCTCTACGTCGGTGGTCTGGTTGACGTTGGTGCGTCCGGGGCGAGGGTCGAACGCGGGGATGAGCGCGGCGAATTGCCTCTTCAGCACGTACTCGTCGTCCCACGCTCGCTTCTTGGTCGCCGAACCGCGAACCTCATACTCCTCCTCCTCCTGCGAAAACACATACACACATGATGCGGTTATCACGGTTACCGCGGATGCTGAGGGCGGATGCCACCATCGTGAGAAGACGTTACGGCATTACAAGTTCCACATATGCAAGCTGAATCATTACATACCAAGTCACCATGGCAACTATATATATACATATAAATACATGTATAGATGTGAATAGACAGATAGATAGATCGAATAGATAGATGGATCACGACGGCTGGTCAAGCGCATAGGAGATAGATGGCGCCACTCACCAGCCCCTTGTGATAGATGGCGCCACTCACCAGCACCTCGTGATAGATGGCGCCACTCACCAGCACTTCCTCGTACTCGTCATCGTCCTCATTATCATCCTCGTTATCTTCATCCTCATCCTCATCGTCAGGCTCCGGTAGTTCATCATCATCCTCCAGCTCTGCTAGCAACGCACTCGCTCTACACGTCTCCAAGAAGTCATTGTCACTCTCACTGTCAACAATAAACAACAACAACAATGTTAACTACCGCAGCAGTAACAACAACAACAACAACAACAACAACAACAACAACAACAACAACAACAAC